AAGAGTAAAATCAACAAAAGAAGAGAAACCTGTAACCAGACTTTGCTGATGATGCCAGCCTGAGGAACGGCTCACATGCACCTCCCCGGGACCAGACCCTCACTGAGATCAGAGCCAGGAAGTGAAAAGAGACCCAGCTGGGCACGTGCACATGTCCTCGCCCCCTTTCTGTGGGGAGACCCAGTCACAAACAGCATCTGCTTCCCTGGTGATGAGCAAATAGTCCGAGTTTCCACTTTACTTATCCTTGCAGACAGAGCCGGGACAGAGCTTTTCTGGTCACGAATGAGATCAACCAGGCAGCGATTTTTTCATTAGCATCCTAATACCCAAAGGCTGGTCCCTAGTGTAGTGTCAGAACTGATTTATGAAGCTAGGTGTGAGCTCTCATTAAAATGCTCACAACTCAGTGGCTGCCTGGTAAAATGAGGCTGCATTTCAGTCCCACACAGTGACTGTCTTACATACTATTAGGACCTAGCTCAGGGATGAAGCTGGCTTTGATTCTGCGGAGAGAAACAAGATGAGAAAGCCATTCACTGTTGTACAAAACCTGCCGCGCTCCCTCAGCGTCAGTCTGGAAATGCCCCCGAGTCCACACTGGGGAGCAAAGATGTTCAGGCTCACCTTCGCCAGACTGGGACATTGTCTTTAGGTGTGGTACCCGGGAGCCCCAGCTGACCACGGCCTTGGGAACCCACCAGGCAGCTCAGCAGAGTCAGGTGTGTTTCCCCATCACTGTCAGATGGTCCCCCCAGCACCCTTCAATCCTATAGCCTCTGGGATGCCAAGGCTCCTGAGGACTCAGCACAGGACATTCCGCTGCTTCCCCAGCCAGGCCAGATCTGAGGGACAGAGAAGGTGAGGCAGACTCAGCAGTTCTGGGCTGAGGCTGGTGGAGCTGTGGCTCCTGGCTGTTGTGAGGATAGGGCTGCCCTCTCTCCCAGGACAGTGCCTGGCATGGCACCAAGCTCATAGTCCAGACAGTTGTCGTGAGTATCATGGGAGCCATTTAATCTCGCTCTCTCGGGCATCTGTATGTGTGGCGTGGGAGGAGGGGCCCGCCTGTGTGTTTCCCAGGATTGCTCTGAGGAGCTGACTCAGTGATCGCTCGCCACGGAAGGTTGTCTGTGCGGGTAACGGATGATCTCACGCCTTCGCTTGTCAAACCAAGCAGACTCTTTTCTTCATCTCCTGGATTTTTATTCAGGGAAACAAGACAGAATCTCCTATGGTGAACAAGAAAAGCCTGAGTGGCTTTTCCCGGCAGCATCTGTACTTAAACTTTTACTTAATCCTGGGGGAGGGAGTGAAACAAAACGATCCCAAGAATAACGATATACTTTTCATTAATCACTTAGAATTAATTAATTTTTCTTCTTGTAAATGTGTTCTCCATCTAAAAAAAATTGCATCGGTAATGTGGATGCCTATTACTCTATGCGGTAGACATCACTTTGATATCAAGGTTAAGTTTCTCTCATCACAACGGCTGCCCACAGGTGGTAGAGTTGGGGGGCAACAAGTGTGTATTTACTGTAATAGTGTAAATATTATATGATTCCAAAGATTCAATTCATTTTTAAAGTGTAATGTTCCCGGTTGAATACATGCAAATAAATTAATGTAAAACACTTTAATAAGTATTTCTGATTGTCTTACAAACCAGAGTTTCAGGGACGCTCTGTGTGGCTGGATAGTCACAGGGTGCCATCCAAAACATCTCCTCGTTTATATCCGTATAAAGCACTGATAGGGTACATAACTGAGTGGTTCTTTTTCCACAATCTTACGCTTTAATATCCGGTACAGATATCCAAGAAAGGGATAGATGATGGCATTTTGCCAAACTTATTTTGCCATGATTTATGTGTTTGGCAGTGTACCTAACAGGATCTTCCAAAATATTCTTCAGGTAACTAGCCACCCAGCCAGTGCTGACCAAGTGAGCTGGCTACACTGCCGCAAGCTGTGCAGAGCTACACCGGCTGGGCTGTGGAAAGCCAGCTGACTGGCAGACTCATTGAGCACCTGCTGGACAAACACCGGTGGGCAGGCAGGAAGGGGAGTGGAATGGTCCTGTAGGCATCCCAAGTCAAAGGAGCAGTCAATAGTCAGCACCGCTGGAACAATGTAGTGAGTGAGATGGGAGCAGAGAGGAGAGCCATGCCTGTTTGGGTATAGAGTTGAAGGTATCTTCCCAAGACTCAAAGCATAAAATCATGGAATGCAGCCACTAACACATTTAGTGGTATGCTACCAGGACCTGGACACATGAGAATATTTCCGCATGTAGGCTGTCCTTGCTGAGGATGACACTTTGCAATGGCACCTGTCTCTCTCTGCCACAAATCATTTACCTCAAATCCAAAGAGGCTCGTTCAGCTCATTGATTTTTTCCAGTTCTGTAACTTTCTGGTTATTTCTCTCATAGTATATTGACATTGCTTATTTAGTCTAAAACTAAAGAAGGAAATAAAACTCATTACATTTTTTAGAACATTAAATATATTTCAATGAAGTCAGTGGCCCAACAGAATACTTTTCAATTGTTTGGATCTGAGATGTAGTATTAGAAGGATAAAATTTTCTCTTTTTTATATTTCTTATGCTTACTCAGAATATTGAAACCTCAAAATAGATATGTGTTTTCCCTGGCCAGTGTGGCTCAGTTGGTTGAACATCATCCCATACATGGAGAGGTCACCAGTTGGATTCCCAGAGAGGCTATATGCAGGAGGTAGCCAATACAGTAGATGGTGCTCTCTCATCTATGCTTTTCTCTCTCAATGATGTTTCTCTCTTCCTTTTCCTTCCTCTATTTTTCTAAAATCAATAAAATTTATTTTAAAATATAGATATGGTTCTATTATATAATGTAGGTCCTTACAGAGGCTCACAATGTCACAGCCCTCCCCCCTGCCAGTGTGGAGGTCTCCTGTGTCCAGGAGTCTCCTGCCTGGGGTAAAGCCTTAGCGTCCTTTGCTTTGTCCCTGTGTCTGGGAAGGGATCAGGGGAGTTCCTCCACGCAGGTGAACCTAAACAGAAACTCCTCAAGAGACTGCTTTTTGGTGATACTTACCTAGTTTCACCAACCCTCTCTACAATAACATGATTCTCATACTCAGGGACTAGAGTCCACCAGCTTGGTACATAGATACCTCCATAGGTAATTCTGCACAACAACTAGAAATGCAACTAGGATTTTGAGGACTATCTCAAAAGAATTTGTAGAGGATAATTAAATATTTGTTGAGGATACCTCCAACTCTATTAAGTCCTTTCTTCTTTCCTAAATATTAGTATTTGGTATGAATTTATTTGCAAACTCAAGAACTTAAGAAATTACACTTTATGTTCTGTATCTTAATATTTTGCTCCAAAGCTCATATCTTATGAGAGTGGCCTAAAGTGGAAGCTTGGTCATCCCTCTTCTTGCCCTATCTGTGTGTCACTGGCACACTGCCAGGCAATCGGGAAAGATGCCTCAGAGGTTGCTCTGCCGCTGACCACAGAAGCTAGTGTTAAGATGCCATTCACTTGGTAGGTACGGTCATCCCAAGGTCAACAGCTCTTGAGACATAAAAACCTGAGCTTTGGCTTCCAGAGAAGTTGAGTTGTTCTCAAGACACAACTGCATCTTGTATTTATAAAGTTTAATACGAAGGAAATGCTCACTCATCCCAATCTATGCAATGTTTTATGTTCACTGGTTATCTGAGCTCTCTGCCCGCTGTCCCTTGTCTCCAACCAACGTCTTTCACCCTCACCCCTGGCACAACAACTAGATTTCAGATGATGGTCATTAAAACAGTGTAGAACATATAAATTTACGTATCTATGTACATATATAAAAGGCTAAGCAACTGTCCAATAGCTATGACACACACTGACCACAGAGGGCAGATGCTGTTGAACTGCTGTGACTTGGCAGCAGCGGGTTCTCAGGTGATGTACCCTGGAACCAGAGAGGAGGGAGTCGGATTCCTGGGTATGTCACCTGAGAACCGCCCTTTTGCAATCCAGGACCCCCTGGGGAATGTTGGAGAGCCAGTTTTGGCCCAATCCCCACAGGCCATGCAGAAGGACCCCAACTGCCAGAGGGACTTCACTCCACAGACACCCTTAAGGCCGTGCCCTCCCAGGTGCTGCCTGCCGGGGAGGGACCATGGGAGGTTGGCTCCAGGGTGTGTCTGGCCCATCTTGCCCAGTCCCACTCCCCACCCCCAGCCACCTTCTAATTAATTTCCTTTCAATGTGCTCATCCATCCCTAACACCGTGTATTGGATCCACTCCACAGAAATAGAAGTCTTCCCTTTTTCTTATAAAAAAGTGTCCCTCACTTCTTTCCAATTGTCCTTCAAGTTTGTCTCCTTTGGATTTCCCTTTATATCATCCTCTGGAAGTTTTAATTGTATTAAATCTAGTTAATTGTGTCATTTTCCAAACATTTGGACTCAACTTTGCAATTTCTTATGTTTTACACATTTTTTTTAAAAAATTGAGTTGGTCAATTGCATGCAGATACTCTTTTGTCATGTGTTTAAACATCTTCTTGTTGAATCTTAGTGACTTTATCAGAGTTGTGGTTCCTGAAGCAAAGAACATGCTCTCTTCTTAATATTTCTCTCTCTCTCCTTCCCTCTCCTCTCTTTGTCTCTCATTTTTAGTTAGCACTCCTAACTCCCCCTACCCTGTTCAACATTTTCTCTTTTCATACCACTCATCAGTTTCTAATCTGTCATGCATGTTTCTCACTTATTGTGTCTGTTGCCCACAGTCTGTCCCCCGATAGAAGATGGTTCCACAGAGGTGTGTCTAACCTGTTTGGTACATGACCTATTTCCACCAGTGCCAGCCTGAGTCATTGCTCAGTGAATGAGTGAAGGACACATAAGATTTGCATAGACAAATGGCAAGAAGAATCTAAAACTTCATGGCTTACTTCCCTCAAATGGCTTCATATTTCCTCAATCTTTCTATTTTTCTTTGCTTCTAGATATCAACATGGCCGGGGAGCCCAAACCCTACAGACCAAAACCCGGGAACAAGAGGCCCCTCTCCGCACTTTACAGGTGAGTGTGAGCACCGGGCCGCACTGTGGCGTGGAGATGCCCAGCAACTGGAAAGGCAGTGCGGTAGCCTATGCGGGCGAATAGGAGCGCCAGCACTCGTCACTGGGCGGCCCTGGCGGGGCTGGACTAGGACCTCCTGCCTGGTGGAACCTCTCAGAAGCTCTCTCACCTGGTGACACCTCTGGGGTGCTGGCAGGTGGTGGGACAGTCAGCTTTTGGTGATGGCCGCAGGCCTGCACTGTAGGTGGCTCACACGTAGCGCTAGATTTAATTTAATTTTCACAGCAATGCTGCTCTCTTTCAGACCAAGACGCTGACATGCAGCTTCTGAGCGAGTCCCTGGCCACTGCATCTGCCTCCCCTCCCCCGCTCCACCTCACCCCATCTTCTTGCACAGCCCCACCCACAGCCCCACCCCCACCCACAGCCTCATGCACAGTCTCACCCTCAGCCCCACCCACAGCCACACCCACAGCCACACCCATGGTCACACCCACAGCCCCACCCTCAGTCACACCCACAGCCCCACCTACAGCACCACCCACAGCCTGGCTTCGAGGGCTGTCCAAGAAGAACCAGTCAGAGCTGGAACTATGGGTCCAGCCTGTGCCGTCTGCCCCAGCAGAGCCGAGAGCCGAGAAGACTCTGTGGAAGTGTGTCTGATTGATCTTAGTACTGTGTGCGAGTTTATTGAATTGTAACTGAGGTTTTTAACGTAAGATGGAAAGCTAGACGATTCCATACAATGTGCTGCTTAGTCCAGGGTGTGTGGACGTGATTGCGATGCTTTGAAACGCAGCTGGTTCCCGGTGGGTTTGGTGCGTGGCGCCCCTGCAGCTGAGGGGCAGCAGGGAAAGCCAGGATGGTCATTAGAAAGCAGCCCGCGGGGAAAGGCAGGCCCGGCATTAGAAAGCAGCCCGCGGGGAAAGCCAGGCCGGGCATTAGAAAGCAGTCCGTGGCGGCTGGCTCTTCAGTTCCGCTGCCCCTGCAGGGCCGTACACTTTCCTGTCTTAGGTCTTCAGGTGGTTCCATTTTCCTAGAGAAAAGAGCTTGTGAGAAGACACAAGGGTGCTTCGAGCAGTCATTCCTCATCACTCAACCACTTCAATTGTGAATTCAAAAGAATCAGAAACAGAGCCATTTCGTTCTGACACTGCGCACAGACCACACTGACTTTTATGCGATTTCCATGTTTACACAAATGAAGGCTGGGATGCGCTGACACTGCCAACTAGTCACCAAGGGAACAGAGTGCCGCTAGAAAGCCCCTGTGTGAGGTGCGCCCTCCCGTGAGCTCTGTCCTCCCTTCTTCCTCTTCCATGGGGCAGCTGTTTGCATGCTCCTCCTTTACCCTTCACCGCCCAGCTCCAGCTGCACTGTGCACCTGGCTTCCTGGGTGGGGAAGTAAGCTTATGAACACCCAAGGCTTTGCCTGGAGTCAGGTGACAAGATCAGAGCCTGAATCCTGGGTGCAGCCTTGGAGACTGGTGACCTCGCTGGGAGCTCACGGCCATCCCCACCTGCTACCATCGGACTGCACAGCTTATGACAAGCAGATTCCTGCCACCAAAGCCACAGTCCATCCCATTCCTCTCAATGTAACATGAGAACACGCGTTACCACCTATTCACGTTGCTTCAAGATCTTCTTCACACATAGTTGTGTAATTCCCTTAAAGCTGATTTTCTCTTAATTTTTATTGATCGATTTTAGTGAGAGAAAGAAGGAGGAGGAAAAGGAGGAAAAGGAGGAGGAGGAGGAGGAGGAGGAGGAGGAGGAGGAGGAGGAGGAGGAGGAGGAGGAAGAGGAGGAGGAGAAGAGGAGGAAGAGGAGGAGGAGGAGGAGAGATATCAATTTGTTGTTTCACTTATTTATGCATTCATTGGTTGCTTCTTCCATTGCCCTGACCAGGATCACACCACAGCCTTGGCATATCAGCACGACCCTCTGACCAATCAGCCCCAGCCAGGGTGATGGCTCCCTAACAGGGTGACACTGAACAATGGAGGTGGAAGCGCCCAGTGGTGTCGGGAAATGTGACTGTGGAAGCAGTGCGCACAGGGTGCTTTCTGCTTTCCTGTTCTTTGCATCTTGGGGTCTTTTTCCTCACTGTCACATGAAAGGACTGGGATGATTTTATTTGTTCATTCATTCATTTGTACAAAACATTCACTGTGTACTTACTCTAGTCTGGGCACTGTGACAGCTGACCTTCCTGGCAAGTGATACAGGAAAATGCAAGGCTGAGGGCAGGGAGAGGACAATGAAGTAAAGTAATGATGTCACAGTTACAGGTAACCTCGGGTTTGCCTCATACCCTAAAGTGCTGTCTCTGTATGTTTGCTCAGCGGGGATGGAAAAGGTCTGCCATCACACTCTCCTCTCCTCTTACTTCCATTTCCTTTCCATCATCACCACAGAGCAGCACCTAATGGAGTATCCACTCAGGCATCACGTGCCTGCCCCTTCTCATGACTGAGTTTTGACTTAGCCAGACAGGCTGCACTGATCATGCATCATATGCTGAATTAACATGGCCTATGGAGAAGACACTAACATTTAAAACATAGTGTAGCTGCAAAACATTTCCTGTCTTGTGCATGCTTTAGGTGTGCATGTAAATAAGGAACATGGATGAATATAAATACATACGGATATGTAAGATAGGAAGTGAGAGCAGTACTGCCAGAGGGGAAGGAGCACAAAGTCTGGGTGCTGCTGCTGCACGAGCAGATGGTCACTTGGCAGACACGCCAGGCACAGACTCCGCCCCACACAGAGGTCTGAAGAGCATGGCATGCCACTGGAGCAGGATCAGCCACTGGCGAAGGCCACAGAACTGGACTGTCTGGTGGTCAGACTCTCATCAGATGAAGATGGTCCGGCTTTGGTTGACAGGCTCATGGGGAACAGTGGCTAAGGGTCAGGATTGGAAGAAGGGAGCAAAAGTAATGATTTCCATCTTGAACATGAATTCATAAAGACAGACAATTCACGAAAATAGCACTTGTAATAAAAAGGTCTCTCTCTCGAGGCTATTGATATAGGAAAGGTAATTAGTCAATTGTGAACATTCATAAAACTTGGACCTCATATAATGGTAAAGAGCAAATACTCTCCAAGGAAATGTAACATTGGTTAATTTGCTGCTTCTAACATTCTGTGTCCATCACTGTGCGTCCACAATAATGATTTGTTCCAGGAAGTGAGTCTCCCCACAAACACAGTTCCAACGGTACTAACTCATTGCTCAACGGGGAGTAGGGTGGTGTGATGGTTTCCCCTCTGCTTGGAGAGGAAACAGAACTTTCCTCTGATGTGAGCAAGGCTGGCAGCGTATCTGAGCTGATAGCTGACTGACAGTGTATCAGAGCTAATAGCTGACTGACAGTGTAGCAGAGCTGATTGCTGACTGGCAGTGTATCAGAGCTGATTGCTGACTGACAGTATAGCAGAGCTGATAGCTGACTGGCAGTGTATCAGAGCTGATTGCTGACTGACTGTGTAGCAGAGCTGATTGTTGGCAGTGTAGCAGAGCTGATTGTTGGCAGTGAAGCAGAGCTGATTCCCAAATGTGGTCTATGGTGTTCTACAATTCTTCTCATAACAACCTGTCCACCCCACATAGGTGACCATAGGAATCAAGATTTTCACTGCGAGTAAATGCAAGACTCCTTACGATTATCGCAGGATAAGCTGTACCATCATTTTTTTTAACGTCCCTACCCTTGGTGTGTTAGCTATGAATGTGGGTTATGTCAGAGGAATTCCAGTGATCAAAAAACCTCAGAACATGGTCCAAACAAGGGCCTGTGCAAGAGCCTGGTGATGTGACAATTGATCCTGAGGCGTATTGTCAGCCTTCCTGGCACTCTGTTACATCATGGGAAAGGAGACCCCAATGTCCCCTGGAACCTTGAATAGAAAGGAAGTATTAGGAGTTAATTTCAACTAATGATAAATTGCAAACACCAATGTGGAGGGAAGCTCCTGACACCAGTGCTGCACCGAGCAATGTTTCAAGGACTTGCTGTTCTTTGTATGTACGCTCTGTCTCCTTTTACAATGTCAAGGATGATACACATCCACTTTCAGGAACCTGCTACTTCCAGTGTCAGCGTCTCCCACTGTCCTGGTAAGGGCTTCATTCACCACCACCCCCTCCCCCCGAACTGGGCCCATATGCACGTGGAGCGTGAGATTTTAAAGGTTGCCCTGTACCTGCCCCGCATCCCATCCTTCTGGCATGGACACCAGCCCAGCGCTGGCACTCAGGCCAGAGTCCATCCGAAAGCAGGATATTAACCCATTAGCGGGTATCATTGCCAAATGTCTTCTTCCATTCAGTAGGTTATTGTTTTTTCTTGTTCGTTTTCTTTGTTGTGCAAAAATGTTTTAGTTTGATGTAGTTTCCATTTGTTTATTTTTATTGTTTGCTTCTCTTACCCAAACAGATAAATCAACAATAACAACAACAAAAAATGACTAATAGTGACATTGAAGTGTTTGCTGGAGGAGCAAGTGTTGGTTAGGTCTTGTCCACGGGAAGTCTGATCTACAGGAAGGCATCACAGGGCCCAGGTGTCCACTAGCTTTCCTGTAGACTGGAACTTTTAAAAGGAAAGAAAAATAATTTCATTTAAAATGTTTCTTGCCGAAACCAGTTTGGATCAATGGATAGAGCTTGGGGACTGAAAGGTCCCGGGTTTGATTCCGGTCAAGGGCATGTACTTTGGTTGCGGGCATATCCCCAGTAGGGGTGTGCAAGGGGCAACTGATTGATGACTCTCATCGATGTTTCTAACTCTCTATCTCTCTCCCTTCCTCTCTGGAAAAATCAATAAAATATATTTTAAATAAAATAAAATAAAATAAAATAAAATGTTTCTTAACATTCTGAGGTCAAATTTCAATGTAAATAATTTATATTCTTTGATAAAATAGTTTACTATATTTTTCTTTTAGCTCCACCTCTATGCAACTCTGTTCAAAATAGAGTT